ATCCTGTTGAGGAATGCCGTTGATATGTCCATATGAATGATGAATTTCCCACTAATGGCTGCATCTGCCAACAAGATACGGAGGGTAGGGGGTTTGGCAGTGGGAGCAAAGATCTTGTTGAAGTCCTGCTTCTCCTTCTGCATAAACCCTTTAGCCACCAGCCTACTCTTGTAGATGGTGACCTGCCCCTTGTCATCGGTCTTGATCCTCAGCACCCACTTGCATTGTATCGCTTTCTTCCCATCAGGCAGCACCACCAAATCCCATGTCCCATTCTCTAGCAGGCTCTGGTACTCAGCATCCCTAGAAGCCAGCCACTTGTCCCTATCTGGTCCAGCTAGTGCCTCCTCCATGCTAGCTGGTTCCTCTGGTGCAGGGGCAAGAAAACAGTACGCAGGCTCGTCCTCCTCATCCGGGTCATAGCCATGAGGTAAAATCAGCATTGCCTCCTCGGTCCCAAGCTGCTGCTCTGCTACACCTGATCCTGCAGTCAGCTTCTTAGTAGCCATACGGGTACGTCCTGGCCTGGAGACAGGTGTCTCCCATCCCCTCATAACGACACCCTTTGGCTTCTTAGTTTTCCCCTGCTGCTGCTCTCCTCCCTCGGATCCAGCAGCTCCACTAGTGCTGCCGCCAGTTTCCACACCATTTTCTCCACCAGCAGGTGCCTCCTGTACCTTCTCTCCATCACCATTCCCCGCAGCTGCCTCCTCTCCCTCCTCCCACACACTAGGAGTCAGGTCTAGCTGCATGGTGATCTGCTCCATCTGATTGGACACACGGGCCTCCAGCTGTTTCTCCCAGCTCCCATACATCATGCCCTCAATGAATTTCACATCCCTGCTGTCAAACAACACACCCTTGGATGGTTCCCACAGCAGCCATCCCTTGCTCTCAGCAGCTAGCCCCAAATGCACACACCAGATTGCACTTGCCCCCAACTTACTGCGGTAGGTCTTGGGGATGTGGGCGACTGCCATGCAACCGAACACCCTCAGCATGTCCACCGGCGGCTTCCTCCCAAGCCACCTCTCCAAAGGCACCCACGAGTCATCCCCAACCTTGATGAGCACCCTGTTCCTAGCGACGGTAGCGTGCCGGACAGCATGAGGCCACATAGAATTGCTCAGCCCAGATTCTATGAGCAGCGCCCTAGCTGTCTCCAGAATGGTCCGGTTCGCCCATTCTGCTACACCGTTGGACTGTGGGGTGTAAGCCGTGGTCAGCTCCCTCTAGATGCCCTGCTTCTTGAGCCAGGCCGTCATTTCAGCTCCAAGGAACTCACCACCCCGGTCTGTCCTAATCTGCTTCACTACACACTCCGCCTGCTTCTCCACGAACGGCAGCCAATCGTCCCGTATCGTAGAGGCGGCGTGGTCCTTCTGCTTCAGCGGATACGCCCACATCAGCCTGCTCCAGTCATCCACAATTTTAAGGAAATACCACTCCCCCTTGTGCCCTTGCACCGGCAGCGGCCCCACCAAGTCCATGTGGACCAGCTCCAACGGCTTCTTGCTCCTGCCAGCCACACTATGGAAAGGGAAACGGGTGAACTTTGAAAGCAAACAGATTTCACAGTTGTCATCGGGTGGCTGTCCGTTCAGCTTCAAACCCTTGACACCTCCATCCTTCTCCAGCTGCTTCAGCAAAGGCATTGCCACATGCCCCAAGCGTCGGTGTGCCGTTGCCCAATCTGTCTCCCCAGATCTGGCCGACACTTTCACACCAACCCCTCCAACGGCGTTGCACTCCCCCTGGGATGCAGACCCCTCTCCAGCCTGCCCCCCACCGTGCCACGCCAGCGCCGGCAGCTGCCACATGGATCTGTACACGTCCTTGCTCTTGTGCAGATCCCAAAGCACCCGATTGCCCAGCTGCCCCTTGTACGTGCGAGCCCCATCCGTGCTAGTGCTCACCCCAGCCTTGGCAAGCTTACGGAGGGAGATGAGGTTGGCCTTGAGGTCGGGGACGAGGAGAACGTCGTGCAGCACCACCGGCTTGCCATCCGCTCCCTTAAACGCAGCTCGTCCCGCACCAGCCACCTTCAGCGCGTGTCCAGAGGCGGAGCACACCTCGTTAATCGGTGCAGCGCGTACGTCGTCCAGCAGGTCCTTGCGCGGCGTCATCGTCCAAGCAGTGCCCGTGTCCAACACCTAACAGTCCAGGGGGTGCAGCTCTGCTCCAACCTTGGCAGAGGCGTCTCCTTGCTCCCCCTGCTCTCCAATATGGAAGAACTGGCCCGCGGTGCGCTCCTTCTTCTTCTCCGCACCGCCGTTGCCCTTCGGGTTATTGTCGGACGAATCAGCGACCATGCTTGCGCCGTTTTTCTGGTTCCTCCGCGCGCCGCCATCCTGGTGACGATTCTGGGGGGTCCATCCATCGGGTTTCTTATAGCACAAAAACCAGGGGTGCCCCTCCTTCTCACAATACCAGCAACTCCCTTTCATTTTGCCACCAGCACCCGACTTGCCCCCACGTCCAGATTTCGCACCGCGGCCCCAACCGATACCTCCTTGTTGGTCGTTGGAGTCGTCGTCCTTCTTTGCACCGCGTCCAGCACCACCGATGCCACGTCATCTGCCTCGTCGGCTCCCTTGCATCCCGTAGCCACTGCTGCCGTCGTCTCCACCCCTCAGTTGGCGGCGACAGAAGTCCTCCTCCAGAATCCTCGTCCGCACCCACTCGAGCGTCCACAAGCTCTGGTTCTGCGGTAGGCTCAATCCGCTCGTGAATTGAAGCCACGATTCCGGCAGCAGCGAGAGCATCTTCAGGCACTTGGTCTGCTCCGGGTAGGTGATTCTCGCGATGGCTAGCTTCGCGTAGAGATCACGCATCTTGTCCATAACATGTTGTATGGGCTCTCCCTCGCTCAAGCGCAACGCGGACAGCTCCCTCTCCATCATGAGTGTCGCATCGACGGAGGTAGGGGCGTGCAGCTCCTTCAACACGGTCCACGCCTTCGGACCGCAATCAACCTCCGGCAGCAAGTGCATAATGTGGGGATGCTGGTTCAGCTCCAAACTCTGCGACATCAAATAGTAGCCAGCCGAGGCGCGCTCGTCCCAATCTTCCTGCAGGGCGGGGTCACTCGGTCTAGGCTCCTCTCCAATCATTAGTTTCAGCAATCCAATCTGACGGAAGTAGAGTTGCATTTTCCAGGCCCAATCATCATAGCCCTCACCATTGAACTTCTCGACGGTGAAGTTCTTCAGCACCTCCTTGATCAGCGAGCCCTGGTTTGTTCGCGCTCCCCTTGGCGCCAAAACACCAGAATCTTGGCTGCCGCTACGATCTTGGGCTGAAGATTCACCAGCTCCCGCCGAGGTATTGCCCGCCATAGCTACCTATAACGAGGATCGCTATAACGCATCTCTGATACCAACTTGTTGGTGTAAGGGCCTAATAAACTCAAGCTATTAAGACTTAATCAAACTTAAAACCTCTCCTCGGGATCACCTCCAAGGGTCCTTGGGTGCCTGGTACAAGACCAGCCCCTATCCTCGGGTCCGAGTTTGTAGAGAGAGGGATCAAGAGGGACTTAGTCAAAATAGCAAGAGTACCTTGAACGTCGCGCAGCGTGCCGTGCAGACCGTCGATCGGATAAAGCTGAGAATTCGCTATATCGAAGCTCGCTCCAAGAGCTTTAGAATAAGCCAAGTTGCCTCGCGAAAATTTCTGCCATTACGGAGTTATGGCTCGGACAGCGTTTGCCTAGCGTTGGAGTGGTAGTATACTAGCGTTGACTCGGGTAGCATTCCGCCGTCGAACCGCGTAGGAACGAAATTCCAGCGAGGAAGGAATTCGCTTGAATCAATTGACTATATTCAGGTACAAATAGAGAAGGAATAAATAGTTCTAGCTAGCAAGGACCTTGGGAATCAACCTGGGAACAACTAGGGATGATCCCAAATAATTCCAAGCAAAAGAACCAACCTGGCTGGACAAAATAGCAGGTGGTAGGTTGGTAAACAACCTCTGGTTTTGTTTTTCCAACCTGGGAAAACAACAACCAGGTTCAGGTTCTAAAAACAGAACATGTTTTGTCTTTGCCCAACCAGCCAAATGCTGGTTCCGCTGGTTTCCCCTGGCCCTATAGCATGCAGATACAGACAAACAACATCCAACCTTCACCCAAATTGTACCCCTATAGTGCCTGCCCTGCTACACTATAGTCAACCAAACAAAACAGTACAATTTCGAGTTGGATAGAACTGAATCTGCGCAATCCATTCAATCGAACTGCAAAGCTTCCAAGTTGGGTTCCTTTGCGAGCTCGTCCTTTCTGCTTCCACTGTTCATAGCGCGTACAATGTTGTGCCGAAGCGCACATTGCGCGAGTACCTGCAAATGCATCAAGCGAAAATTGCGAAAGCAAACAAACACACGAACATTCCATTCACACCCAAATGCATTCGTACACACATACTCGAACGAACAGACGGCAGGATGTCGTGCAATATGAATTTGCACCCAACAAGGCCAAGGGTGGAAGGAGGAAGGGAGATACGCCCCGTGCACACGACCGTTGGGCGGTTGGAAGCCGCACGCGGTCGCGGGGGTGGAGAGCGGAAACGGGCAGCCGGAGGAGGGTGGGGGCGGTTGGATGGGACTGGGGTGTACGGGGGGCCAGAGAGTTGAGAAGGCAAGGGGATGGGCAGCAACGGGCAGGGTTTGGGCCAGCTGAGGGCAAGAAAAAGGGGCGGGCAGAGGGTGAGCAGAGGGGCGAGCGGTGCAAGGGAGGCACCAGAGGGAGGAAACCAGTTGCATGAAGGTCGGAGGTGAGGGGCTTGCAGGGGGGTGGAACAGGGGTAGGGAAGGGGCAGAACGGGAGGATGTGGGTGAAGGGGTGCGGGGAGAAGAGAGAGAGAGAGGGTGAGAGTGAGAGAGAGAGAAAGAGAGAGAGAGAGAGAGAGAGAGAGAGAGAGAGAGAGAGAGAGAGAGAGAGAGAGAGAGAGAGAGAGAGAGGGTAGGAACGAGAGGGGGCTTGGGGTTTTGAAGGGCTAATGGTAGTAAGGGGGCAGCAAGGAGGGGGAGAAGGGGGCAGCAAGGAGGGGGAGAAGGGGGGCGTAGCAAGGGGAAAGCAAAGGGCATGGGGGAAGGAAGGGAGGGGAAGGGAGGGAAGAGGCTGAACGTACAATGCGGAGAACCGAGGGGCATGGATGGTAGGGAACAAGGGCAGAGGTGCGGGAAATCAAGGGCAGGGAGGGGAGAAGCGATGGGTGCGGGCAAAGCAAAGGAGGGGCAGAGGGGGTACAAGGTAAGCACAGGGAGGGAAGTAATGTGGGGCAGGGAGGGGAGAAACCAAGGACAGGGGCATGAGCGGCCAGGGGCAAGGAGGGAACGGAGGTGAGGCACGGAGAAAGCAAGGGAGGTGCAGGGAGAGGGGAAACCGGGCGTGGGGGGGTGAAAAACGAGGGGCAGGGCGGGGAGGAGGGAGAGGCAGGGAGGGGAGAAGCTGAGCACACGGAGGGGGGAAACGTGGGGCAGGGAGGTGGAAAGCCAAGGGCAAGGGGGGGAGAGTGGAGGTGCAGGGAGAGGGGGGAGGAGGGGAGCGGAGAAAAGCAGCGAGGTGCAGGGAGGGGAGACACCGAGCGCAGAGGGGCCGGGGACGAGGGGTGGGGTGCGGATTGGGGAGAGGCAGGGAGTGGAGTAGCTTAACGAGGGGAAGGAAGAAGCGTGCAGCAGAGGGGGGGAGGGGGGAGGGGAAGGTAAACGAGGGGAGGGCGCGGGCGGGGACGAACGAACGGCGGGCGGTGGGAAACGGCAAGGGGGGGCAGGGAGGGTCAAAAGAGGCAGCGAGGGAGCGGGCACACGGAGGGTAGGGGCGGGGGGAGCGGATGGCACGAGGGGGCAGGGGGTGTGACTATGAAGGGGGGACCCGGGAAAGGGGTGTGTACTGGTCGGGGCACGAGATTGACGTAGTACGATCATACCTCGGCTACTACGCCGGATCCCATCAGAACTCCGAAGCTAAGCGCCGGTGGGCGAGAGCAGTTGTTCATTAATAAGGGAAAAGAAATACAAGCCGAATATAATGGTTTTTCCAAAACTAGGAAAATTCGGCATGAATGATTCCCTATGAGGACGGTTTATATAAATATGTATACATATATATATGTATATATATATATAAATATATATATTTGTAGAAAAGGGGGAAAGAAGAAGAAGAAAGGTTCGAGAAGTGAAAAGAAGTAGTAGGGAATAGAAAAGAGTGGTAAGAGGAGAAGAGGAGGATAGAAGAGGAGAGAGGAAAGAGGGAGGTGGGTAGAGGAGAGGAGAGAAGGAGAGAGACTAAGGAGAAGGGAACACCACGGGACCAAACAAGACAGCAACCCGCCCAACAGCGCGGGCACAGCGTTTCAAGCACAGCCACTAAAGTTTCTACACATATGCATCATATATATATTGCATATCGGCGACACTCTCGAAGCACCCTATGATGTGGTGCCAAGTACCCTGCCCCGCACCCAAAGGAACTGGTGCGGGCATCCACCCATCGTCGGATCCCCCCAACTGCCGCACTGCATGCTGGATGATGCATTGAGCCTGCGCGCGCTGCAGTGCCACGGAGAGACGTGTAGTAAGTCCTGTCTCGAATATCCGTGCCGATCCATCTTCCCCCCCTCCCAAATCCCTCCTCCGCTGTGCTATCCTCTTCGCGCAGAGCACTAGGAACTGTCGCAACGGCTCGCTCAGTAGCGCGAAAGTCTCAGCTACGCACGCATAAAACTCTGGAGCCGGCTGCAACCCCTCTAAGTGCGGCCCCCAGTGACGCAGCTTCTCCTGCACCCGCCTAGCTGCTGCCACTCCAATCTGTGTGGGGGTCGCCCGTCTCAGCTGCACGTTCCCCTCCCGCTGTGGATCCGCTATGGAAACATCCACCAAGACCATCAGAGTCTGCCCCATGTCCCGGCAGGTGAGGTCTGGGATGCGGGAGGAGGTGCCTACCCAGCCTGTGCGTCCGGCTGCTCCCTGCTGCTGCGCGGGCTGCTGCCCTGTCTGGTCCCTCGGTGTCCCCTCTCCTGTCGTCTCTCTCCCCCTATCCTCTCCTCCACCCCCCTGTCCTCTCCCCTCCTCCTCTCTACCCTCCCCCAACCCCCCCAACCCCTCTGCTCGATCCCCTGCTGCCTCTCTCACTCCCTTATCCTCCCCTCCCCCTCCCGCGCCCTCGTCCCCTCTCCGCTGCTCTCGCCCCTGACCCAACCCCAAGCCCAAACCCGGAGGCGTGGCACCCAGAGCCTGCGACCTCTGCTGGCTCTCGTGCTGCTGCCTCTGCTGGCCCCCCTCCCCGCCCTGCCTGGTCGGCTCTCCCTGCCGTCCCCTCTGCCCGCCTGCCCCTCGCGCCAACCGACCCCGCAGCTGATGCTGTCCCCACTGCCCCCCGCCGCCCGGCTGTCCCGCCTCGCTCCCCTGCTCCAGAGGTCCCCTCACCCGTGTCCCCTCTCCCACCCCTGGCTGTCCCTGCAGTCTCGCTCGAGCTGCCTCCAGGTGTGTGAACAGCGTGGAGTCCTCCACCTTCACCGCGAAGCCCGCCTCGACTGCAAAGTCTCGAAGCATGAACTTCACCGTATCGTGGATAGTAGTGGCGACGCTGAACCGTGGACACCGCACCGCGTGGTGAGGCACGGTCATGTCGTCGATCGCCTGCCCACAGGAACACTGACCTGCGAGGGCTAACTGGGGGACAGGGAGACCAAGACGACATGATGAAGCCACCTGCCACTGCGCCTCCGGAATGCGCAGGGAGTCTGCGTACGGTACCGCCTGCAGCCACGCTCCTGCACCTCCGCCCTGAAGGGAAGTCAAACGGGCAAGGTGCAAGGGAGAGGTGTGACGGTCACGCACGGCCTCCAAGGCGTGCGCCTCCAAGAGGCAGCTCGCTCCTGCAAAAATGGAGTCGGGGGAGGCAGAGGCACAAGAGGACCAGGGTGGGAGGATAGAGAGAATGTCAGCTGGGAGGCCCTCCAGCGTCGTCCGCAGCGACGGGTCGATCTGCTCCGCCTCACCTGAAACGAAGCTCTGCCGGAAAACCTCGCCGCACACAAACAAAAAACAAAGAATGGGTGCACACTGCACCCAAGAGCACACGTAACTCACCGGGGCGATGCGCGCCATGCGCCGAATGCCGAAGCCCCCGAGGCGGATGGGGAGGAAGATCTGGTCTAAGGCTGCATCTCGGACGTCCTCGCGGCATGCCCAGGTCCCCGACGCTAAAAGCCGCTGGAAAGTCTCTCCTAGGCGTGCGTCCCACCGTGCGAAGCTGGAGAGAGCTGCGGGCGAGGGAGGGACGGTCCTCGACAGATACTGCGGGTGAGTGCTGACACATGCCGAAAGGAGGCGAGCAGCTGTCTGGGGCCGGCGCAACCTCGAGAGCCACGGTGCCACCCGCCCCATCCTCTCGAGACGATCTGGGAGACCGCGCTCCACAAACGAAGGAGTGCCCACCGGCACACCTGTCACCGTGAGTCCTCGGCGTGGGACCTCGATCCCCAAGCTCGTGAAACCCTCCGTGTCCCTGGACCGGTAGGCCTCTGTCTGGTAGACGAGGCACTTGTGCGACTGAACCGCAAGGCCCATCTCGCCCAAGCGTCTCACGATCTCAGCAAAGTGATGTAGTACCCTGTCTGGGGGGCCTAGTACGTACGTGTCGTCGGCGTATGACTAGAGCTGGACATCGCCCTCCGTCAGAACTGGCTCCAGGGCAAGGCGCTGTGTCAAAGCGTACAGGAAAGGGCTGAGGGGGTCTCCCTGACGAGTGCCGCGCTCCGAGTGCATCGTGACCACTCCCCTACCTGACCTGCAGTGGAGGTCCGAGGATGTCCCGTAAAAGAGGCCGATAAAGGGGATGAGACACTGAAACTCAGGGCTGGCCTGCAGAGCCTCGAACATCCTGTCTCGATGGAATGAGTTAAAGGCATTCGCCACATCTAGCTGTAGGACCACCCAGTCTAGGTGGTCAGCCAGAGCGCGGCGGACGCCTCTAACTACGACCTCTGTGCCGCACGTCACCCCCACCCCAAACTGTTGTGACGCCAAGAAGACCCTCGCCATCTGGTCGCGTAGCTGGAGGCAAACTGCTCGCGAAAGAATGCGGACCAATACCTCGCCGATGGCGATCGGCCGAACATCCATGTTCGACTTCGCCAGAGCCACGAGGGTGGACGACACTAGCAAGGAGCGCGCAGCTGGGGCTCAGCGACCTCGAAGCCACTGCTGGTACACAACTAGAAGGAAATGGAGACTCTGGGGAAAAGCCAAGAAGGTGTCTCGAAGGTGCTCCGCAACCCACCCGGACGGTCCTTCTGAGGAGCCCCGTGGGGCCGTGTGGATGGCGCGACGTAGGTGATCCTCCGAGAGCACGAGAGGAGTCCCCTGAAAGCCAGACAGCCCAGCTGGAATCGGCCTCTCCGCGTGGGGGTGCTTCGACTCCAGGCGCCGTATCGTCGCCTCCGTATCTGGGGCTGCCTCCGTGGACTCGAGAGCCACGCAGGCCCGTGAGGTCTCATTGCACGCTGCCAGACGAAGGCAACGTGCAATGCGACGCTCATCTGCGTCGGACTGGGTAGTGGCGGGCCGTGCGCGCTGGAATGTGCGCCGGGGAAGGGGGGTGCGACGGATCAGCGCCTCAGCAAGTAGTTCTGTCCACTCACCTCGCATGAAACGGGAGACGCGTGCAGCGATGGCCGTCGTGTTCGAGCGGTCGGGAGGGGTCGCCTGTGTCAGAAGAAGTGTGGGTGCAGCGGCGAGGAGGAAGGTGGGGCCTGGAGCCTCAGGAAACTGGGATATATGGGACGAGATCGTACAGAGGACGTCAAGGTACCCTCCGCGGACTCTCGGCGGGACTCGACGGAGAGGGCGGGCGTGCGTGCGCTCCGGCGAGAAATACTCCGACCAATCGTAGGAGTCCAGCATCTGCCACTGTGCATCTGTAAAGTGTGTCCTCATCCCCTGTGGCTGTGCAAGGGATGGGAGGACAGATGTAGCGTCGTGGAGGGCCTGTGCCCTGCGAGCTGCGTCTGCAGGGTGGCAGAAGGGGGTGTGGTGCTGGAGCGCGCGTCGGTTCGCGAGGGGGCTCCTGCAGGTGGGGCATATCACGGCTTGGTCGGGTGATGTCGCCGTATCGGTGGGGTCGATCGGGGCTGTGGTGTCGGAACTGCCTGTAGAGGGGACCCCATCACCGACCTGAGCACGAGGAGGATCGCCTGGGATAAGGGGAGGAGAGGACTCACCGTCCCCGTGCAGGAGGGGTGGCGGCGGCGATGGTGGTGGTGCCACACTGGGTGGGGCTGGGGCCCCTGGCAGTCCGGGCCCCGAAGCCAGGGAGGGGGAGTGTGGCGGTGTGAGTCTGAAGTGCGTGCTATGGTGCGCCCCCCTCCCTCAGCTGTGTGGGGTCCGGTTGGCGGCTCCGCTGTCCCAGCTGGAGGGGTGTCAGCAGGGGGGGAGGCCTCGAACCTGGTGCTAGTGCCCTCCTGCGCCTCGGGTAGTGTGTCGACAATTGGCTGAATGGGGGGAGGCGCCACCACATCTAGGTGCGAGTGACCCGGCCCCAGAACCAGGTCCGTCTCCATCGGGGACGGGACTGACGGACCTGGTTGAGCAGCAGGGGGGTTGGAAGAAGGGACTGAGCGAGTGACCTCCGCATACGTCCGGAGATGAGCCTGTGGGACTCGCCGGGTGTGGGCTCTTGGGGTGCTGCTGGGGCTCTGTATCGCCAGTAGGTCTGAAATGGCAGCCCTCACCTCCTGCGGTGTCTCGGCAACCTGCCTGCCTACTGGTGAGGGTAAGAGGGGTGGCAGGGTAGAGGGTGGGGTGGGGCATGCTGGCTGAGCGGAGCTCAGGTGTGGTCCCCGAGCTATAGAGCCCCCTTGGCCCTCCTCAATGGCCATGGGTTGCGGGGGGGGGACATCGACGTGAATGGGGTGGGAGGTATGGGAAGAAGAGTCAGTGGTGTCACCCATGGGCTCGTCCCTCATCCCATCGGCCTCCATACCGGCAGCGTATGCGGCTGCCGCCACCTGGGGCGGGTTCAGAGGGGGGGAGAAGTGTCCTGGAAGTGAGTGGGCAGATTCGTTCCCGCGGCCCTGTGGAGGAGCGGGCGCAGGAGGGGAGTGCGAGTTAGGTTGTTGGCCTGTAGGTGTAGGGCCTGGTGCAGGTTCGACAGGATGTGGGGAGGTGGGGGGCGCCTGGAGGGGAGGGGAGGGAGGGGGGAGGAGGTGAGCTGACCCTTTGCCTCCTTTGACTTTGTTCTTCCGCCATCGGCCGGATTGGTGTTCGTTGTCCCTGCCTGAATGAGGAGGAAGGGGGGGTTGAGAGGCCAAGGGGGTGGGTGGGGGAGGGGCGGGTGGTTGGTGGGTGGGGGGAAACTCCGTGTGTATCCCCTCCCTCCCCATGACATCGTCATGATGGGCGCGTGGTATGAAGGGGGCGATGGCTGCCCAACGGGGCCATTCAAGGGGAACCGGGCCGGGCGCGAGGGTTGTAGGTGGGGGACGAGACGCTAGAGTGGCCTGAAGGTAAGAGCGAGGTGGAAGCGGTGGGGAGAGGGAGGTTTGTGATGGCTCTGTAGTGGCAGAAGGTGGGGGAACGAGAGGGAGAGATGATTTGGAGGTTGCACCCCCATGCTGGAAGTTGGGGCCAGGGCCCCTCCCGCTGGTGGCCGCTCCTGTGGGCCCTTCCACCGAGGTGTCGTCGCCCCCATGAGACTCCACGGGCTCTTGCAGGTGGGACCTGGCTGCTTGGGGGGGGGGGTGTGGGGAGGGTCGCTCATTGGGTGAAAATGTTGGGGATGCGCGGCGGCTTCGGTGGTTCGGATGTACGTAGGGTTGGGGGAATGATGTGGCTGGAGAGAGGCCTCAACTTCCGAGATGTGTGTAGCTCCGGGCGGGGGGGGACCTGGTGGGGGAGGAGGTAGGAGGTTGGCAGGAGAAGATTGGGTGGATTTGGGAGTCGGGGAGCATGGCTCAGCCAGGAAGGCCAGGGCCCTGGCTGCCCCCCGTGGCGCTCGGAGGAACCTTTGGGGGCGGGGGCATGAGTGTGCTGCCCTTGGGGGTGAGGGAAGGGGCGGAGAGGGGTTAGGGGCGAGATTAGGAGTGCCCTTGGGCGGCTCTGCCCTTGTTGCACCCACGCGCTCCCCCGGTGGCCCGCCTGCACCCGTGGGGTCAGGAATTGGGGAAAGAGGGGGGGGCTGGCCATGGGACTGCGAAGGGGTCAGGGAGCGCGGCTCCGCCAAGAAGGCTAGGACCCTGGCTGCCCCCCTGGATGCTAGAGGGAGCCCTTGAGGGTGGGGACGGGGATCTGGCGCTCCTGTGGGGGGGTGGGCTGAAGGATGAGGGGACAGCATGGGGGCGCCCTTGCAGGGCTCTGTCCTCAAAATCTCCGCCAGCCCATCCATCGGTCCCTCTGCCAGTATGGGGTCGGGCATGGGGGGGAGAGGGGGAAGCTCGCCATGAGGCTGCAGGGGGCATGGGTTGGCCTCAATGTCCGGAGTGAGGTATTGGGCCAGTGGTCCGTCGATGTGCATCCCGTCCTCTACCGCACCCTCCTCCCTCACTATCACTTCCCCTCCTTCACAAACCTCCCTGGATGGAACCCCGCCCAACCCTCTTACCTCTGTCGCCCCTATGTCCCCTGAGCCCGCACCCCCTGCTGGCTCTTTACTGACAGATGCAGTCTCCACAAGCTCTGCTGTGGCCTTTACCGCGCTTGCTGCGGCTCTTGTCGCCCCCAGTGGGCGTGCTATGGCCGCTGGTGCTTCAGCTGCAGCCCCACCTTCTGTCTTTGTGGCCCTTGCTGTCCTTTCTCCCACAGCAGCATCTGCTGCGCCCTTCCCTGCTGCAGCCGGGGCTGTGCTCTCTCTTGCCCCAGACCCCGCTACACTCTCCCCCACTGCAGCCCCCCTGGCCCTCCCCTCTATACCAGCCCCAGCCGTGGCCCCTGTCGCTCCTGCTGCGGTCCCTGCAGCCTCACCTGCCACGGTCCCTGCAGCCCCGCCTGTTATGGTTCTTGTAGCCTCACCTGATGCGGTCTCTGCGGCCTCACCTGGTGCAGTCCCTGCAGCCTCACCTGCTGCGATCCCCACAGCCTCATCTGCTGTGGTCCCTGTTGCCCCCCCTGCT